GAAACGGTTTGAGGGCCACCCAGGACTGTAGCCAGGCTGATCTGATTTCCCGTAAGACCACACTGTCTGGAGCTGGTGTCTTTATGCCCACAGCCCTGTGTGTTAGGAGCCGGTCTCTTCCTCACCGGTCATGTACGCATGCACGTGTGTGCATTTAACTCATTTTTTAAAAATTGTATGTATGTACATCTCACTGAGTGTGTGGAGGTCAAAGGACAATTTGCATGAGTTACTTCTTTCTTTACCACCATGTGGGACCCCAGCATTGAACTCTGGTCATCAGGTCTGGCAGCCAAGACTTTTACCTGCTGAGCTATCTCTCCGGTCTGGGAACTGGGTTCTCTTTTTCAGTTACCTCTGCATCTGTGGTGGATGTTCTCAGTGACTGAGGGCAACACTGGAAGCAACATCACAGAACTTGGGGAAGTGCAAGGAATGCCATCTGTGGCAAACTCCCAGAGGTGCACATACCCTGTGCACAACCCAAAGGGCAGCTGACTCTGGAAGGACCACACACACAACAGTCCTCCATGTGTTGGGGGGGGGGGGCTGATGCCAGCTCTGGAGGAACCCCATGCAGCTCCAAGAACCCACCCCAGGATGCTCAGGATTCTCACAGGTATCAAAGGTGGGGTACAGTCTCAGGGGGAAGCATCCCAAGTGGCAGAACATGTGTGAGGCCTGGGATCCATTCTCGGCACCTCAAGAAAGGGGTAGGGGTAAGGGGTGAGGACCCACTGAATTTGCAAAATGCTAAATCACAGCATCAGGAAATGAAGACATGAATCTACTCTTTATAGCTGAGGTTCTGAATCTTCTACAGGAAGATAAAACCTTCACCTAGGACTTTAAAACATCCCATACCTGCTAAGCTGTGACCACCTCCGGAGGCCGAGTGTGGGTAGTTGCGCCATCTGCTGACCACTTTGGGAACAGCCTCTTGAAAAATCCCTGGAAAAGGATGGGGGGGGGGACCCTCAGGACCAACCCAACCTCTGGGCCCCCAATACCATACTCCCTAGTCACAGTCATCACCTCTTGCTCCTTGCCCCCACCGTGACCTGTGCCCACATGTGGAGTCATCTAAATGCTTCTTTGCACCTGCATGAATACCAGGCCCCACCACCAGCTGAATTATGTACCTGCTAAAGACATATGCAAGTCCCAACCAGTATCCATCATCTTTGGAAAAGAGTCTATGAAGATGATCAGATCAAAAGGAGGTCCTTAAGGCCGGCCTGTGCCAATGCCAGGAACCCTTACAAACGAGAAAGTGACGATGACTGTGGAGAGGCAGCCACAGGCTGAGGGACATCCAGAGTGGCTGGCAACACCAGAGGCTGCTGGTAAGGCAGAGGAAGACATGTGCCTTCAGGTCTCAGAAGGACACAAGGATGGACACACACAGACACACTGTGGTTCTGGCTGTCTGGTCTCAGCAACCTCACTGCATGCTTTCAGTTGCTTCCAGCAAGCCAGTCTGTGGTCTGTCCTGGCAGCCTCACATGAGATATAATGGTATTTACTCACAGTGAGAATACCGGAGACTCCTCAGAGTAGTAAACGTGAGACAGATTTATTCAGAGTGGACAAGAGGTCAAAAAAAAGCCAGTGTGCAGATGTGTCATGGAGAAGCCATGGTTTTGGCAGTCCCCAACCTAAAACGATTCCTGCCACTTTTCCTGAGGCTGCTACAGAAATCTTCTCTCTTTCCTTCCCTCTTGTCTATAATGATCCCCACCCCAAATTCCCCATTCTCCTGGGGCCAGAGAGGCTCCTCCCCTTTTCTGATACATGGGCTTTGTCTTAGAGCAGATTGTCTGGCTTTCCAATCTTAAGATGTATGAGGATCCTGGACAAGCAGACACCAGCTGCTTGTCCCCTCTGCTCTGACAGGTACAGAGTGCCTGCTAAACTGTGAATCTTTGAATAGGTCTAAAGGCCTCTTACACCTAGGATTCATGCATGCCACAGGTTGACATTTGCTTATTGTGTTTTGTCTACATGTAAGTCTGTGGAAGGGTATTGGATTCTGGAGTTACAGTTGTGAACTGCCATGTGGGTGCTGGGGATTGAACCCGGGGCCTTTGGGAGAGCAGTCAGTGTTCTTAACTGCTGAGCCGTCTCTCCATCCCTGGCTTACTGTCTCATACGCACTTACCGATTCACCTGCCCCTCCCTGTCTGCTCTCAGCTTTACGAGTGTCCAGCACACTCTCCACACACACTGAGGTCTCAGGACCCCCTGTGGGAATTTGTGTCATCATGGCTGTTTCCAACCGTGTCCCAGAGACCCCGAGCTGTGAACTGGATTCTCTGAGGAAGCGACACTGTAAAAGGTCCAGGAGGCTGAGGCGCCCTCACAACTGTAAAGAGACAGACTACAGGTCCAGAGCTAAAATGATCTTGGGCTGCCATTCACCAGTGAGCCTAACATGTGTCTTGGTGACTGTTAGAAAAGACTGTTTTAGCAGCCCGTTAGCTCCACCAACCCAGGCACACTGCTGGCACCCCTGTGGTAGCAGCTCAGGGACATCTCACATGGCTTTCCCCTCTGACCCAGGGGCCTGGTGTGTGTGTGTTGGGTATCAGTGCTTGTATCCCTTGTCTGCAGCCACCATGACCCACTCACCGACCTCTACACTGTGTCTAAACAGCGTCCCACTCTTTGCTTATCCTGGCTATTCTACACCATCTCCACCAGCCTCGAGCTCCTCCCAGGACCCATAGGGCAGGTTCTTTGGATGTTCCTCCATTTCAAACTTCTCCCTGCCTACTTGCTCTGCACCTTGTCCCAAGCAGAGGGGGCCATCTTCCCCCCAAGGCCAACCGTAGCCCTCGCCTCTGGGTCAGAATGTCCTGTGTGCCCGCGCTCACCGTTGTCTCTAGCAGGAACTTCAGCATTGGTTTGTGGGCTGGAGCTCAGGCTCTGATAGACCCTTCCCTGTAGACTTGGATAGGGCTGCCTACCCCTGATCCCACAACCTTGGTCCCCAAAGCTCTAGGTTTTCATCCACCCAAACACTTCCTGTCCCCGTGTCTAGTGTGTAACCTTGGGAACAAGGCTGTTATTTTCAGGGCCCTGTATAGGACACTCTGGAAGCCACCCCACAGCTCCTCCCCTGACATTAAAGAACAGTGTTCACTGTAGCTGCAAGCATGTGGAGCTGCAAGCAGGGGTAGCTGGGCTCTCTCCTCTCCAACTAACCAGGAGCCCAAGGCCCAGGGCCAGGGTGGGGATAGAGCACAGGCCAAAGTTCAGAAGGGCCAAAGTTCTAGCTAGCCCTGTGTTGACATGACAGGGTGAAGTATCTACTCATCTGAGATGGGGACCTGCTCACAGATCTTGGTAAGAATACCAAGGTCCAACTTAGTGAACCAATGGATTTGCTGGGGTTAGAGGACTATGGGTGAGGAGTTACTTAGAGCAAGGGTAACTCATAGGCTGATGTGAAATCTCACTAGTGTTGGGGTGGACTTCGAAAGCAGGAACCCTGGAGCTTTCAGAGAGGCCCATAGGCAATCAGGTGGGTAAGAGTCTCCCCTTCAGCAGTTCTTACTGCTTATGTACCCCTGTGAGGGACTAGTCTTTGCATCTGGTTAATTTCAGGAACTTCCTAAGTGTTAATGAGCTTCCTTCCAGATTCCGGAGGGACTGTGTTCATCGTCAGTGTGGCTGCAGGCACTCACAGGACCACCCTAAACCTGTCTCTTCAACCCTAGCGTGTACAACAGTGGGAGGAATCCTGCCATGGTTAGAGAGCCCAACGTGCCCGTCATAATCAAGGGGCTAGAATCACAAACCTTCCTGAATACAGCTTCCACATACACGTGTGCACACAGATACACACGAAGCAGTACGACAGGTGCACACAGGACTGTAACAAACATAGATCCCTGGTGAACTGCAAGTCTTACCTCAGGGAGGTGTTCTGAACCAGGAATCCTTAATTGAAGAGTATACTGGAGGAAAAAGGCTTTGGGGTGGCAGTGGGGTAAGAGGGAACTTGACAGGAACAGGGAAGCCACAAGTGACCACGTGGGTGAGGATTTGAAGACAGTGCAATGGAGCATGGCACAGAGTCAGCTGGGCTCCTAGAAGGAAAGCTGAGTCCAGCTTCTGGACACATGGAGTTCCCTGGGTCAACAGAAGGCCAGGGATGTGACATACATCATTCAGTTAAAGGGGCCGGTATCCCACTGTGAACCTGCTGGGATGGAGGAAGTGGGCTAGGAAGGGCTTCTCTCCCAGGAAGGAGCTGCAGGGCCCAAGAGCATGCAACAGTGTTTCCTTCCAACGCCCCCACAGCAGCACTCTTCGGTGATGTGGTAGCTTACTTGTATCATGCCCGATATGAACAAGTGTCTGACATCCACCTCTGAGCTGCACACACTCATATCTCCACAGTGTGCACATACCCTATAAACCCACAACCCGCAAGGTGCCCACACCCAAGGAATGCTGTACTCCTGAGAAGCCTCTATCTGCGGTGCCCCGACACAGGGTGCCCACAATCCTCAGACGCGCACACACCCACACTTCCCCAGGCACGCACACCTCCTAGGTGCGCCGCACACCTCCGCCTAGCGCCACAGCCCCGAAGCGCACCATAACCCCGGAGAAGGTGAAGGGCATTGAGCCAACCCAAGGACACACTGTCGGGGCAACGCCCCTCGCGCGAGCCCCGCCTTCCGCGCGCGTCCTTGGCGTCCCTTTCCCCGCCTCCCCCGTTCTCAGCCAGGAAGCCGAGACCTGCATTTCTTCCTCGCCTTTCCTGTCGAGTAAACAGGAAGTGTCTCCTCGCGTGGCGGCCGCTTCCGACCCGGGAGGGGCCGCCATAATTATGAACGGCAGTACTCTAGAGCCAATCATAGAAGACAGCTAGGGAAAAGATCCAATCGCGAGGTGCGACCGACCAGGGCCGGAGGCGGGCCCAGAAGGCGGGCTCTTAGCGGCGCAGCCAATCACAGGGCGGACGAGGGAGGGCGGGGCGCGGCCGGGCTGACGCCGGGGCGGCGGCCGTCGGTGGAGCCGGCCGGTGGCTGCGCGATGCTGCAGCTGCGGGACACGGTGGACTCGGCGGGCACGAGCCCCACGGCGCTGCTGGCGGCCGGCGAGGATGCGGGCGCGGGCCGGCCGGGGGCGGGCACGCCGCTGCGCCAGACGCTGTGGCCGCTGAACGTTCACGACCCTACACGCCGCGCCCGCGTCAAGGAGTACTTCGTGTTCCGCCCCGGCACCATCGAGCAGGCGGTGGAGGAGATCCGCGCCGTGGTACGGCCCGTGGAGGACGGCGAGATCCAGGGGGTGTGGCTGCTGACCGAGTAAGCCGGCGCGAGGGGGCCGCGGGGACACCGGGCGGGGGCGGGCGGGGCCCTTGGTGATGGGCGGCCCCTCTTCCCTGCAGGGTGGACCACTGGAACAACGAGAAGGAGCGGCTGGTGCTGGTCACCGACCAGTCGCTGCTCATCTGCAAATATGACTTCATCAGCCTTCAGTGCCAGCAGGTGGTCAGGGTGGCGCTCAGCGCGGTAGACACCATCTCCTGCGGAGAATTCCAGTTTCCTCCGAAGTCGCTCAACAAGTAGGTGCCCCAGCGCACTACACGTCAGGGCCCCAGCGGATCCCGTAAGTGGTGTTGTGAGGTAAAGGTCTCATCCTGAAGGACCAGTGCAAAGGACCTTAAAGTAGAAGCTGGTGATTTCAGGGTGTCCCAGTGCATTCTTGAAAGAGATGCTGGCACAGTCACCCACTCTGCCAGCACTAAAAATCACTTACTTAAATACCGTCAAGATACATGGAAGCAGAGCTCACTGTCAGAGGCTATGTAGGGAGTTTGGGAATTTTACCTCCAGCAGGAGGGAGATACAGGGCATGTGCTCAGTAGTACTAAAAATTGGATAGGTCACAAAACACCTAACAGCCAGTCTTCAGGGGCTGGCTGGCTTGTTATAAAAGAATTATTTGAATAGGGACTCCAGGAGGGTAATGGCTACAAACTTAAGAATCATTCAGTAACATTAATAACAAATATGGCCATAATGTTTCATAGGCTGTAAAGGAGGCTCAGCATCACCAAGACATTAACTTGTTACACTGTGAAAGTGTTTGAAACTGTTAGTGGAAGTCACTGTTACCCCAAGCCACAGCTCCCCCAGCCATCCCTGATACTGGGTGCAGTGTTATATTCCTGTGGTAAGTAAAGGCTTTCTTTCCCTCCCTCATCAGGCGAGAAGGCTTTGGGGTTCGCATTCAGTGGGACAAGCAGAGCCGCCCTTCTTTCATCAACAGATGGAACCCCTGGTCTACAAACATGCCCTATGCCACCTTCATAGAACACCCGATGGCTGGCATGGATGAGAAAACAGCATCTCTGTGCCATGTAAGTAGACCAAGGCCTGTGGCCCTGGCAGTGTCAGGTGTAGGCCCTGTCAAGTGTGACCCCTGCAAGTGCAGCTCCCGACAGTGGGAAATTAGATAGCGGTGTTTAAGAAAAGAGTGCCCGTCCCATTGCAGGATGCTCGGTCTGGATCAGGTGGATGAGCGAGTGAGCATGGGAAAAGCCCACAGTACTGGAGAGGCTTCGCAGGCGCTGAGGGAGCACGGAGCACTCTGGACAGTTACGGGAGGGCTGAGAAAGCCCTGTCACTTGATGACATCATAGTCTTCATAAATTCCTCCATCTGTGATGCTGTCAGTCAGCGCACAGCACACCAGTGCAGGCAGTGTGTGCTGTTAGAGCGTCACCTGGTTAGTGAGGTGCAGCTTCAGAGCATGTGTGTCTGTAAGAAAGATGTACAGCCTGCTGTGCTGGCAGAACCTTGTCTCAGGCTGTGAGTCCCTCGACTGCATCTTTAGATAGACGGGAGCCCTCTAGAGTGGACTTAAGGCAGGTCCCATTAGGACGTCTGCACAGGATGAACCATCTTGATGACACAGCTAGTAGGGCCCAACCTGTCATCAGTGATGTCATCAGTGTGTGGTGTTTGGAAGGATCTGAACTTCTCAGAATCATTTCCCCATGGAGGACTGTTGTCTTAGCTTGAGGTTAAGACTCCATGTTTATTCTCTCTTTAAAGTTGGAAAGCTTCAAGGCTCTCCTAATCCAGGCTGTCAAGAAAGCGCAGAAGGAAAGCCCACTGCCAGGGCAGGCGAATAACGTGCTGGTGCTGGAGCGGCCCCTCCTCATCGAGACCTACGTGGGGCTCATGTCCTTCATCAACAACGAAGCCAAGCTGGGCTACTCCATGACCAGGGGCAAGATAGGCTTCTAGACAGCTGCGCCCCAGGACACCAAGGCAGTGGGGACTCGGTGTGCCACCTCACACCCCCACTGTGGCTGGAGGGAACAAGGGCACTGTCCTGTTGTGTTGTGTCCAGTTAGAATAGTCAAGTGGATTATGTATATTTAGTTGGATACTGGACACCTTGGCAACACAATCTTACGAAGGCAGACTTGGGTGCCCCCGTACCACTGTGTTCCCGCTGTAACGCCACGTTCTCCCTCCAGCATGCTGCGCACAGTGTCCCCGCCCACCGCCGCTGTGTAGACTGTTGGATACAGCTGAGTGCAGTGAGCGGCTTCTGCACATGCACATTTATTAACTCTCCCCGTCAAGTGCTGTGTTTTAAAGTTCAGACCATTTTTTTAAAAAGCCAAATACAACAGCAGACAGGTCACTAAGAAAGACAGTCTGCCTGGCAGCTCCTAGAGAACCTACCTTCTTGTGAATATGTTTGACTTAGAATCACACTTTATAAATTAATCCAGGTTGTATTAATACAGCAATTTTCCTAGGCCCAGAAGGTTACTCTCATAACTAAGCTAGCCCCTTCGGAAGTCGTGGTGGTGGGTTTCTATCATCCTGTCTCTGTTTAAAAGGGACTCAGTGGTTGGGTTTTAAGAGTGCATGCCTGTACGCAGACGAGCGTCCTGGAGCTCGCTGAGAGCACCGCTGAGTTTGACGCCAGCTGCACAGCTTACCACTGTAGCTCTAGCCTCGCATGTGCACTGTAGATGCCGGCCTGCCACTTTATACCTGTAGCTTTAAGTTAACTGGCATGGATGTGACCAGGCTGTCACGGCCTGTCCAAGAGGAGGGGTGACCTCACATGCACCTGTCTTCAGTCTGTGCTTCTGTTCTAGTAAAGACATTTAAAACCAAATGGAGTCACTCCTTTTTGAAGTTATTGTCACAAAAACAGTCGTGCCAAAGACTGTCTTGTGGCCTGAGACCTGCACCTTCTGGCTGGCTGTGGACCCTTGATAGCACAGTCCTCTTTCCAGAAACACAGATGGCCATGTGCACAGTCCCGGTGGGAATCCTGGTTACCAGTGCGGACGTGCTGGTCTGGCTGCTTTCAAGGCACTTGGTAGGGATGTGGAGGTTTGTGAGGGGCTGAGCTCCTCCACTCTACCAGACGGGCCCAGACCTCCCTGCAGAACTCACTTGTAAGGTCAGAGACCTGCCCAACTGTTGTGGGATTTACAGCTCACATGGGGCCAGGCACAGGTGCTGGGGCCTCGCAGCACTTCTGAGTACATCCTGCTGCAGGAGAGCTGACCAGTCCGCCATTAGTCCACCCTGGTTCCAAGCACACTGAAAACGGCTCAGGGAACAGCAAAGAGTTATGGGGCAGGTTGGTGTTGTTACTTCAGGATTCTTCATCTTCCCAAGACAGACCTCTGAGCTAAGAACTTGAAGAAAATGACCACCACTGTTCCACGGGTTAGCAAATACCTATTTTACATAACAACTTTATACATATTTACAGAAAACTGGGCAGAATAGCCCATTTCATCTGGAGAGCCTCTGCAACCGTTGCTCATGTTGGGATCAGCAGTCTGCTGCATCGGTTTCCACTCAGGTCCTAGACAAGCCGTCCCGTTGTCCATAGGCTGTGCCAACCCTCTCCTTGGTCTCCAGGAAGCAGAGACAGAAGTGATCCTTACTAAGGAGGGCCAAGGAGTCCCCACTTAAATGCCAGCACAGTCCAAGCACTGGAAAGTCACCTAGAGAGACAGGTGGCCAGACGGTTAGAAACCAGGACCTGTGGGGAGGACGGCTGTGGGTGTGAGAGGAGTCTGGTGACACCAGGGCTGAAGACAAAGCCAGGAAGGCTCTTGTGCTTACCTTCCCCAGGTACCTGCACCGACACACAGCCTGCTGGGGACCACAGGTACACCTTGCTTCCTCCTGTGCAGATGGCCAGCCTTGGCTGCCGTGGGTCCCACTGAAATGAGCGCACTGGAGACATGTGCTCCAGTACTACAAACAGCTTTAGCTTCTGAATGTCCCAGATCCAGACAGCATTGGGGACATTGTCTGCAAGGAAGCAGAGATAGGACAATTGTCAGTGCTGGCCCTCTGCAAGCAAATTCTGGCTGTTCTCAGGGACCAGCACCCAGAACAAAGAAAAGGCCTCCCAAGGCTACAACCCCTCTTTTTCCTGTGGTTTTTATATCTGTCGATGTAAGAAATGCAAACAAGACAGCACCCCACTCCACTTGTTAGGGGGCCTGCATGAAGACCAAGCTGCATATTTGCTACAGTGTATAGGGACCTAGGTCCAGCCCCAGCCATTGAACCCCCTCCCCTTCCCTGGACTGCCTAGTTGGGCCTCAGTGGGAGAAGAGGTGCCTAGTCCTGCTGGGGCTAGATGCCCCAGGGTGGGGAGTAGTGGGGAGGGGGCTGCTCCTCTGAGAAGAGAAGGGGGTGAGGGTGAGGGGCTTGTATGGGTGGGACTGGGAGGGGGGGGCTGTGGTCAGGAAATAAAGTAAATAAAAAAGATAAACTGTTAAAATCAAAGCGGCACCCCCCCCAAATGCAAATAAAACCAGACCCAAAGAGGTCAGTGCTGGACCCTGTTCTTGCACAGTGAGGTGTGCAGGAGGGAGCAGCCAGGCAGCCAGGGCATGGGCTGACTAGCAAGAGCTGCTGTGCAGAATGTCCACTTCCGCAGAAAACCAGGGAGAAGAGCACACAGCTGCCCTGGCCTTGGCTTCTCCATTCATCTCGACTCTCAGGTAAAAGGGCCCTAAGCAGCTGACCCTGCCTACGAGTGTGACACTGACCGTTTCTTGATGCCAGGAAGTAGCTGTCAGAGCTGAAAGCCAGCATTCCTACACCCATCCTGGGATTCGCTCTGTCAGCCACCGGCTTCAGAGTATGTAAGGAAACTGGTCCCGAGGTGATCTCATCTGCAACACAGGGAAGACACACTGAGGGCACTGGTTAATGGGAGAGGGCAGAGAGAGGGAAGGAAAACGCTGCTGAGAAGCATGGGAGGGTCTGCTGGCTGGAGGGCTTAAAAGAACAGCTGTGGTAAGAGGCATAGTCGCAAGTTCCCTAGGGGACAACAGTCCCAGTCCCTACAGGACCCCAGGTGGGATAAGAGAATGCAGTCTGAGGCCCCAGAGGAAGGATATAAGTCTGCTCAGGTCTGCTTTCTGAGCTAGTCCCAGCTACTTGAACATCTGGCAGTTTTATCCATCTCCAGTGTCTCGGGGCACAGATGGCCGCCCTTTTTCCAGCTGGGACTCAAAGAACTATCAACCAACAGATGGTTAAGTACAAGCCAGTGTGAGCGACCTAACGCCTGGCTGCCTGCCACCCTCTAACCAGGCACTGCACAGCTGACATCGCCTCACTCCTTCAGGGACAGCAGAGCAGGGAGGGAAGGCAGGCTTCACAGGAGAACACCTATGATCTCTATGGTGCAGGACTGAGACCCCATCTCAAAATCTCCCCAACCCAAACAAGCAGCCTCCGAGATTTACGTGGACAGAGGATTCTCGTCTAAGACAAAACAAGTTTTCTCCCATGGAAGACAGCCCTCTGCTGCTTACATTTGCTCTCTGAGGTAGAGAGGGCACCAGCCATTGCTCGGGGTGGTGGGAAGGACAGGTGGCCCAACCCCAGCTGTGGGATCTTCTCAGCTTCCTTATACACAACCTGAAAAACACGATGTGGCCGCTAGCCAGTCTGTGACAAGAGCCAGAGAGCCCCGCAGAAGGTGGCCCAACTTAAGTGCCCTAAACGGAAATTACTGGGAAGAGGCAGCAGCCAGTCTGACCCTTTGCAGTGAAGGACAGCTCAGCTGCCACCTCAGTCCTGCTGGCCAGGCTGTCCTGTAGAGATGGGCACTGACCACACGGCTATGTTTACATGGTAACCTATGTCACAGCTCTGCAGCGGCCTGTGTGTGCACTGTCAGCATAATGGAGAAAAGTAGGCCGGGAGAGGACAGTGAGCAGCAGCGGCTGTGGAGGAGCAGACGGTCAGGCCTGACAGACCTCGAGCTAGTGTGGATCTTCAAGGCCCGTGTGTGGGGAAAGGCAAGCAATACTGGTACCTCTCTGCTTCCTGGTCAGAGCAGCTGAAGGTCCGCACTGCTCCGCCATTTGTACCCACACAATGTGCTACCCAAAGTGAACATGAAGGGACCACGGACTGAAACCTCGGAAACTAGGAGCCGCAATAAACCCGTTCTATTTAACTTTAGGTTGATCCTGTCCCAGGTCCTCTGACCCAGTGACACAAAGCTCACTCACACACTTAGGTTAGTGGGGTACACCACAGTCCCAGGAAGAGAAACTACCATAGCACACAGGGTGGAGACTTCGATGCAAACCACAGGCAAACCTTGGCAGCCTGCATGGCCGGCCTTGTACTCTGTCTTCTCTAACCTGTGCTCTGGCCAGGTTCAACCACTGCTACTGGAGGAGAAACCTGACTAAAGCCTAGCCTCCGTCCAGCTTCTCCGTCCTACCGGGTTCTGCTGACACAGGCTTTGAGGCAGCTAACTGAGCCCTGGGCTGTGGCCCTGGCCCTTCCTTGTCCAAGGGAAGCAGAAATCTGTCCTTGGTCCAGACGACTGACAGAAGACAAGAGGACTCAGCACTACTGAGCTTCAGAACATGCCTTCAACTCTGCATTTCTGGTTCCTGGGCCTGGGCTGCCCCACCTGCGGTCTGCAGACCAGCTCCCCGGCCCTGTCTGCTTGTCTGTGTGCTCTGCTCTGGCAGGATGGCCCATGCTCAGCATTCCCCAGTTCAGTCTCCCCACGGATCTACCAAGGACAGAGTATGACGAGCATCTGGCTAGGACAGGCTCAGTCCACAGAGGAGCCTGGACTACACACACCCTTGACCAAGTAGGGCACGAGGGGCAGGAGCAGGGAAGGTGACATCACAGCAACTGAGGAAGGTCGAGGTGCTCACTGCACCAGAGAAACCACGGTGTTCAGGTGAAGGTGTATGCACACTTACTGTCTTGGGATTATTAATGGCTGCAGGATGCCCAAACTCGGTGATCATCTTCCAGGTCACATGATTTAGGAGGCGCACCTGGGGAAGAAACCGTGACAATGACATGCAGACAGCTCACGGGCTGCCGCTGTCCTGCAGCTCTTGGCGTTGGCCGGCGCCCTGAGCCACTCCCTACCTTTCCATCGTAGCTCCCGATGGCCAGAAACTGACTGCTGGGGCTCCAAGCCACAGACTTGATGCCCAGGGACCACTCGTAGGCACTGTATGCTGACAGCAGGCGGCCGTCCAAGGAGTACAACAGAACCTTGTACTGCGGAGGAGACATTTAGACATGTCACAGGCCCTGCGTGTGGCCCTTCAGCACCCAGCAGCTCGCAGCACTGAGAGCACACAGGTACCTGCAGATGAACGCTCTTGAAAAAGAATGTGCTGCTGGCCATGTGCTATACCTCCAAGCAGGTGTCCCACGCTGCCAGCACACAGCCATTCGGGGCCCACTCGATCCCTGTGAGATCCTGGGTGTCTGTGTCAAAGTGCTTCCTCACGAGAAAAAAAACATGACAATCTGAAAGCATGTCCTTAGAGCAGTAGTGCATTTGTTTTATACCTAACGCTTTCGGCTCACGTATCATTTATTTGCAGCAACAGACAAAGGATCTGTGTGCTGTCCTAGTGAGTGTGCACAGTGGGCCAGCCATTTTGGGCAAGGCCTCATGCCCTCATCCCCATGGGTACCTGTGCTGTTCTCACCGAGCCCTGCCTGGCAAGCCTCATCTGCCCACTTGTTCCCCCAGTGCGCCCCTTCAGCTGTTTCCCTAACTCTCTGACACTCAACCGCGTTCTGGGTCTGAAGCTTGTGGGCGTGGTGGGCACATGCTCAGTGTACAGCTCCTGA